GGGGGGGAGGGTGCTGGAAGGCAGGGGAGCTCAGGAGGGGTGGATGGCATTCAAACAGGAGGTCTTGGAGGTGCAAGCCTTGATGGGGAGATGAAGGAGAGCACCACCATGGATGCGGAAAGAGATGATAAGAGGGGTTAGATGTAAGAGGAGCCTCCCTAGGAAATGGGCCCTGGGACAGTGGCAAAAAGAATATACTAGAAGGAGGCAGGTCAGTGCTGAAGGATTCTTCGCAAGGCTGACGCTGATAATGAGCTGAGACTTGTGAAATATGTCAAGAACAACAAAAAGGGCTTCTACCTTCATGTAAATAGAAAGGGGAGACAGGCAGTGGGAGCGCTTAAAAGGAAGGGAGGGGATCTGGTAACTGAAGTCAGGGAGCAGGCGCAGATGTTTAATGATTATTTTGCTTCTGTGTTCTCCCCAGATTGGGTTGGAGGAGATCTACCTCTGGGGAGCTAGAGGAGGTTGGGGTTATGGGGGCACAGATTGGAGACGCCTCCCTAGAAGCCGAGTTGCTCCTACGGGCCCTGGATACTACAAAGGTGCTGGGCCATGAGGGATACTTTGGGACCTGGCAGGGGGACTCCTGCATCCGTTGGGCTGCATTTTTGAGGCCTCATGGAAAACGGGAGACGTTCTGGAGGTTTGGAGGGTGGCATCCATGGTTGCAAACTTCAGAAAGGGTAGCGGAGGGGAATGTGTGGAATTACAGGCCAGTGAGCCTTATGTCCATTCTGGGAACGGTGATGGGAAAGCTCTAGAAACCCTAGATGGGAAAGGGGGGCTGGGGGCCACACAGCACGGATTCTGTAAAAACAAATCCTGCCAGTCAAACCTTGTGGAGTTCTGTGATAAGGTCTTGAGGTGGCTAGACAGAGGGGACACGGTGGATGTGGTTTACCTGGATTTGAGGAAATGCAGCATGATATCCTGGTCGAGAAATAGTTGAGCTTTGGGATAAATCGATGGACTTTCTGATGGGATTAGGGCATGATTGAGGGAGCTCAAGCAGAGGGCGGCTGTCAGTGGGGAAGCATCAGGATGGCAGCCAGTGACAAGCGGGGTCCCCCAGCGCTCCGTTCTGGGAACAATTCTGTTCAACCTTTTAATCAGTGACCTGGAAGAAGGAATAAGCAGTCTGCTGACTAAATTTGTTATTTTTATTTATTTTTCGATTTATATCCTGCCTTTTTCCTACAAAGGCAGCTTACATCATTCTCCTCCTCCATCTTATCCCCACAACAACCCTGTGAGGTAGGCTGGGCTGAGAGTCTGTGACTGGCCCAAAGTTACCCAGTTGGCTCCATGGCTGAGCGGGGACTCGAACCCAGATCGTCTGAGTCCCAGTCCCATGCTCTTAACCGCTACACCACACTGACCTCGCACCACACTGGCTCTCTATAATCGTTAACCTGTAGCCTATAAGATGCCATGCCCACCCCTTGGCTTTCTGCCAGCTCCACTTTGGGGCAAGAGCTTCACTGCTGACAGATCTTGCATGCGAAATAACTGATTCAGATCTCATCTGGGCGTTGCTTCCCTTGTTCTCTGACAATTGAGACCCTCCGGGAAAAAGAGCAGGGGCGTTTTTGCAAAACCTCCTGCAGGACCCTGCGCAGACACACTGGCTCTAAATTTGTGGATGATACCAAAGTGGGGGCGGTGGCCACAACCGAGGAGTGGGCGATCCATATCCAGGAAGATCTGGACAGGCTGTGAAGGTGGGCAGGGGACGACACAATGGCATTCAGTGTGGGTAAGTGCAAGGTCCTGCACTTGGGACACAGGAGTAGGTGTCACAGATACAGGATGGGGGACAAGTGGCTGGAGAAAGAGATCTTTCCCTTGTGAAGAAACCTCGGGGTGCTTGCTGACAGCTGACAGCAGGCTGGACATGCACCAGCAGTGTGATGTGGCGGGTTAAGACGGCAAATGCTGCCCTGGGATGCATAGCCAGAAGTGTGGCTTCCATGTCTAGGGATGTGTTGATACCGCTCTGCACGACTCTGATGTGCCCACAACTGGAGTCCTGCGTCCAGTTCTGGGCTCCACATTATAGGAGAGACTTAGCTAGGTTAGAATCAGTTCAGCGCAGGGTCACACAAGACTGGTAGCCGAGTCGGGAGGGATTGAGGGAACTGGATCTTTTCAGCCTGGAGAAGAGGAGACTCCGAGGGGATCTTTTAGCAACTTGTAGGTATGTGAGGGGATGTCGTGTGGAGGAGGGCCGTGACCTGTTCTTCCCTGCAGTGGAGGGCAGGACACGTCCCAGCGGGGCAAAGCTCAAGGAACCAGGCTTCAGGGTGGATGCCAGGAAGTACTTCCTGAAGGTTAGGACCCCTAGGAGATGGAATGGGCTCCCAAGGGAGGTGGTGGGGGCCCCATCGGTGAGGGTGTTCAAGGAAACAATGGACAGCCATTTGTTGGGGATCGCATGAGCGAAGCCGGCTGGAGCCGGGGTCAGACTAGATGGCCTGGGAGGCCCCTTCTGCCTCGCTCCGTTTCTGTGTTTCTAAATGTGTGAGAAAGAGGGGCAGAGAGATTCAGGGTCCTTGGAGGGGTGGTGAAAATAGTGTGGGCGGTTTTTTGCGTACAGTGATGCTTGTGGACTCACGTGGGCAGGACAGGGGCTTGCCTGGCTGTGGTTCTGTGTGTGGCCGAGGGAGTGGGAGCGCCATTCATCTGCGGGGAGAGTACCCTTCCCAGTATGCCCTGGGTGGGGAAGGTGAAGGGGAGCACGCTGGGAGAAGGGCACTGGCCCTTCCTGGTGGTGAGCCGGACGGAAGATTGTCCTCCCAGTGGTCCTTTACTTGCCAGAGAGGTAGAGGCAAGGGAGAAAGATGAAGCAGAGGGTGATAAAATAATAATAATTGGGGGGGGGGTTGGGGGAGAAAGGTTCAAGAAAGGGGAAAGAGGGCTTCAACCATCCTATTAAGCTTGGAAGTGGGGAGGGCCCGCTGTCCATTCCAGCCAATGGGAGCTTTGGTGTTTGATCTTTGCCATTATGGAGTGCATTGTAAACTGCTCAGCAGATCCATAAGTCTGCCTGTGATCGAACTCAGAACTGACATACCATTTCTTTGGGATTCCCAGAAGCTTTGCACCCACTCCGTGTACCGACAATGTGTTTTTCCTGGCTTCTCTTAGTGGGTTTGTAGTCTAAGACACAGCCTGGTTTCCACCTGTTTGCCTTTCCTTTTTTAAAAAAAAAAAATTTTTTTTATTAAGATTTTAAACTAAAACTACACATATCAATCATCACACACATCAGATTTACTGGGTTAGCCCCCTACAACATGTCTTTTAACATTCTATGATCATATAATCCTTTTATAAAAACATGAAAACATCTTTAGATCAAAACCAAGTCCCGTTTCTCCAGCCAAATAAAAATGTAATTCCAAATTTGATAGAAGTCGCTATCTTCCTTCTTCCTCCTTCTTTATTGGTAAAATCAATCCCATCTTTTCTTGCAAAATCCTGCTTCTCTTGACCATTATTTAAGGGAAGCTTCTCCAGGTTGGGTGAAATTGCAACATCTTCTTTCTTCTTCAGTGATAAATTTTCATCTAAACATTTCTGAACAATTTAAAATCTGTCCATTTTTCTAATAAAAATAACTTCCTCACTACCACAATTACTAGTAACTTCAAAAGGATCTATTTGACATCTCAAAGGGCATCCTAACTATGCTTAGTGATAACTTTAAGCCAATTTTCTTTAAGCTCACTAATGTTTCATCTGACTTAAACTCCATTTAATCAAATATAGTTAACTCCGTAAAGTATCACATATAAACTTACCAACCCATATAAGTCATTCATTTTTTTAAATAGTAAGTTCTCCTATTTTCAATTTCAGATATAATCAAAGATACCCATTTAACAATGTTTCATTAAGCTAAGTTGTCAAGTTTTCACCAACCACATTCAATTAGCCTTTCTGTATCTCATGTGCACATATCAGCCTATTTCAATCATCCCTTTTTAAGATGAAAAGAGGAACAAAGAGAAAGAAAGAGAAAAATCTTTACAATTACAAATAACATCAAAAGCATCCATTTATCATCTCTAAAAATGGCTTAACAACTCTATTTGGTGACTATTAATACCTATAATGAATTATCTTATTTTCAAATACAGATAAAATCAAAAACATCCACTTAGCATCTTTATATAAGCATCATTAATTTATCTGTTTGGTGATAACTAATACCTATCGTATCTTTTAGCCGAAATTTCTTTAAACTAAGTTACTAATGCTTCACCAACAACAGTAGCTTAGCTTTTCTACGTTACATATGAGCATGCCAACCTCTATGCGTCACCCCTTTTTGAAATAACAAGAAGGAAGGTTCTCTTATCCTCCCTTTGATTTTTTTTTACACCTCTACCAAACCTTTCCATTTTCTTTTACATTATAACATCGCAATATCTGTAGTAGAATTTCCAAATGTAGCCACATAAACAAAGACTCTCTTAAATGGTTAACTGTGTTCTCCTTCTCCGACATAGCAAGCAAATCCAATAACCTCATGTTGATTAGCTCCACAGATTGTGCCAACTTTTCCACTCGCACAAAAAGACATGCCTGTCATAAATTATGGAATAAATCGTGTCTGCCCGTTGCTTCTTTGTTTACATTAGAATATCGTAGTGTCTGCAGTAGATCATGTGTCTTGGACTGTAGCCCAGCTATCTTCTCTTTTTCCAGCTTAAGAAGCAAAGTACATGGAGGCTTTTTTATTCCTGAAGTTTCCAAATATCCATCTGCTTGTTGTCTATTTACAAGCCCATCCCATAATGATTTACTCTCCAAATAGCCATCTGCCTGTTGTCTATGTATAGGTCCATCCCATAATAATTCACTTGTTATCTTCTCAGTTTCAAATTTTTCTTGTGCTTGCTGGATATTTTGCATATTCTGTTCAGATATTTGGTCAAAGCTTGATTAATAGAAAAAACTAACTTATCAAAGCCAACTTTTGATTCATTTAGGAAACAGTCAAGTTGCTTAATTAAAACAGACTTCTGTTGGAGTATTATTGCCTGTTGAGATCGCTGCAAGGCTGCTAAAGAGGTCTGTATTTCCAAAAGTGTTTTTTGAATTTCTTTAATTTCTTCCATATTAATTTCTTCCATATTGGCAGTGATTTCGCAGCCTTGGCAGGGGCCCAAGAGTCCCAGGAACAAAGGCACAAAGATGGGCGTTATTTTGGAAGTAGTCCAACACACAAGAAGATTACTTCTGTCGTTCAATTAAACATTCATTTATTGTTTTAGTTCTTGCCCTTGGAGAGATTGAAGAAAAAAAAGATCTTTTCCTTACTTACAAAGAGCTCTGTGTCTCTCATGTTATTCGCCGCCTTTCAATTCCGTGGTGGGGGGGGGAAGAATTCTTTCCCTCCTCCATCTGAAGGGCTTTCTGTTTCTTTTTTTATATCAATTAGCAAACAATGCAGCTTTTTCCACGGGTATCATTGCAAAAAAAATAAATAAATAAAAATAGTTCCCAGTAGATCAGATGCTAATAGCTAATGTAGACTAAACAAAAAGTGCATGCCGAGGACTTACAGAGAGCTGAGATCTCTCCTGTACCATCCAGCTGAGAAAAGCTTGATTTTCTCCCAGGAAGCGCAGCATTGCCATTCAAACACCTGCTGGGAGCTTTGCCAAGCAATCTGCCTTCACCCCTACAGGGCTTAGATTGGGCCCCCACAGCCCACCACCGGGCAGATACCAGCGTGATAACGGAGCCCCGTTAATCACATCTGTCTCGTCCCGACGCCATGCTCGTCTCTCCCAAGTTGGCATTTTTCTCGCCAACATCTCCAACATTCCCCCTTCTGCACTTTGGAAGCCCTGCCAAACCATCACCCCTAACCATCACTCAGCCAGGCTCCCATCAGCCAAAACAGAAGGAAACAAACCCTGCTCTTCTTCACAGTGAGAGCCTGGGTGGATGAAGGTAAGAGCTCTGAAGATAATTCGAAGGGAACCACATCAGCTTCAGGGTCACACCAAGCCCGGCTCTGCCCCTGGCAAAACACGTTTCCTAGCCGTATTCTCGTTCCACTGCGGTGACTGCGAGTGGCTGTGCTGTGCTTAGATTGGGCCCCCACAGCCCACCACCGGACAGTTGCCAGCGTGATAACGGAGCCCCGTTAATCACATCTGTCTCGTCCCGACGCCATGCTCGTCTCCTCTCCTGTTTGCCTCTCCTGTTTGCTCCAGGAGAGTGGTCTATAGACTGGATCCTTGGTCCTTGTTGTTCCTGCTTTGTTCCTGCATGCACACATTTTCTTATGCGTACACATTTGTATTTTATTAGTGTTGCTCAAGATTGCAAGTACCCACTATCTTTCTGGTGCTTTGAGCTAATCTTTTGCAGTCAGTGCAACACACTTAAAGTTGCTTTTACTTTCTTCCTGGAGACGTTAAGTTGCCTTGCTCCCTAGAGTTGATCCAGATCCAATTTTATGGAATCCTGGAGAAACCTAGGATGCAACAGGGCTTAGAAAAAGAAAAAGGGAGAAGAGTGGAGATGCTGAAATGAAAAGTGCCAACTTTGTCTTGAGTTCAGCTGAGTTCATCAGTTTCAGCCTTTCCGTCGTAACAAGATTTTCATTTTCTTTTCTTCACAACCAGGTGAATAGCCATATCTAGAGATTATATGGATCCCTGTGTCATACCAGCAGAAACAAGTGGGCTTGAAGTGTTAAAAGACATACCAATCTGTTAAATGGGATCAAGAAAGCACTAGGAAAACCATGTAAAGAACAAGAAGAAAGCAAGCCTGCATTTCTTAGGTGTTGAGAACCATAAACCCTTTATTCCTGTAGTTCACAAATGCAAGAAAAGGGAAATGTTTCTGACAAATTTAAAAACATAGACAAAAATTAATTCAAATTACAGAAACCAAAAAATACAGAACGAATATACGGAATGTTAGAACAGCATCCCTGTAGTAATGACATTTCCTCGATTTCAAAAAACGCGAGGACCCAGACAGAGGCCCACAGAGCCTCGATCCTCTCGAGGACCCAGACGAGCACATGAAATGTGAGGATAGCCTCAGGAGAGCAAAGGTCTCTGGTAAAAACAAGGGTCCAACGGTTTGGGAAGCCATATAGGATCATGGAATGTTGGCAGAGCTTAAGTGATGGTGCCAGTCTTGTTAAAGATGAAACAGTCCGCATTGGAAAGCAACCGTATGAATTCACGGAAAGTGAAAAAGGTTTCATCATATGTGCAGAACTTAATGAACATCCGGGAATGCACGTGGAGGAGTTGCCATTTAAATGCATGCAATGTGGAAAGAGCTTTATAACGAATGCTAAACTTATTATACATGCAAGAACCCACACTGGGGAGAGGCCTTACATATGCATGGAATGTGGGAAGAGCTTCAGACGCAAATGTGATCTTACCGTACATACACGAACACACACTGGGGAGAAACCATATAAGTGCACAGAATGTGGAAAAAGCTTCAGTGAAAGTGGTGTTCTTGCTAGGCATCAGAGAACCCACACTGGGGAGAAGCCATATAAATGCACGGAATGTGGAAAGAGCTTCAGTCGGAAACATCATCTTGTTCCACATGCAAAAACTCACACTTGGGACAGACCATACAAATGCATGGAGTGTGGAAAGAGCTTCATTGACACAGGAAATCTTGCTAAACATCAGAGACTGCATACTAGGGACAGACCATATAAATGCATGGAATGTGGAAAGAGCTTCATTGGGACTGGAAGTCTTGCTAGACATCAAAGGATTCACACTGGGGAGAGGCCTTATAAATGCATGGAGTGTGGGAAGTGCTTCATTGATACTAGAGGTCTTTCTATACATCAAAGAACACACACTGGGGAGAGACCATATGAATGCATTGAATGTGGGAAGAATTTCAGCCAGGAACATCATCTCACTCTGCATGCAAGAACCCACACTGGAGAAAAGCTGTATATATGCTTGGAATGTGGGAAAAGCTTCAGTCGGAAACATCATCTCACTGTACATGCACGAACACACACTGGGGAGAGGCCATATCAGTGTATGGAATGTGGAAAGAGCTTCAGTGAAAATGGAACTCTCACTCAACATCAAAGAATCCACACTGGGGAGAAACCATATAAATGCATGGAATGCGGCAAGAGCTTCAGTGTAAGTGGGGTTCTTGCTAGACATCAAAGAATACACACTGGGGAGAGGCCATATATTTGCATGGAATGTGGAAAGGGCTTCAAACGGAAACATCATCTTGTTCTACATGTAAGAACTCACACTGGGGAGAGGCCATACATATGCATGGAATGTGGAAAGAGTTTCAGTTTCAGTGGAAGTCTTACTAACCACCGAAGGAACCACACTGGAGAGAGGCCATACAAATGTATGGAATGTGGGAAGAGCTTCAGTGAGGGTGGAAGTCTTACTAAACATCAAAGAACGCATACTGGGGAGAAACCATATAAATGTATGCTCTGTGCAAAGAGCTTCAGTTGTCGTGGAAGCCTTAAAAAGCATGAACTAACCCATCCAAGATGGATGGACTTCCAAAGCAGGATCAATCTGCTGTCCAAAATGAACCACAGAGAATCCAGAGAAGAGCTCATTTATCATGGAAGCACAAGGCAGGGGTCTGGAAACTTGACCACATAGGAACCTTGCAGTATTTGACAAACATCCCATTGAGTCCAGCACCTACCAAGTGTGAAAACAGAACTAGAAACATCCTGTAAGCCTCCCTGCCAACACTAATCTTGGGAGAGAGTGACTTTCGTAAGATGTTCAAACTGAATCTCAAGGACATGCCAAGGAGAGGTGGGTGAACACGAGGCAGACCTCCAGCAACACAACACATCTTCCGTCTGATCTAAAATTACTTGGCTCTGGGAAATTTTCTCATGAACCCTTACATCTTGCCCCTCCTGTCAATTTAGCAAATACAGTGGGGGGGGGGGGTTGGGGGGGTTGCACAGAATTCTGCAGTTTTCTTTGCATGATGGAGCCCAGTGCATCTGCACTTAGTCTCGTATGGATGTTGTTCTGTTTGCATTCTTGATCTTAATCTTGTTTATTTATGAATTGTAGAATGCAGCCAATGGGCACTTTTCTCTTTCTGTTCCTCCACATGGTGGTTCATCATCTGAAACCTAAAACATGGTGGGTTTTTTAGATATATAAAGTTGCATGATAGTAAGGAAAAACGAAGGCTCCATCACGCATCTCCGAAAATTGGCAGGAATCGTACAGTGGATCTTCCTTTGTTATATTGTAGTAATCCTTTTTGCCCTCAGTCTTTCTAAGACTGTGTCTATGCTGTGTCGCGAATAAATGGCTTCCGCTGAATAAATGAAACAACCAATCACAGATCCTTCCACTGAATAGGAAAAGGTAAAGATGAATCGGGAAATTAACTAGGCTGCAATATATCTTGGCCATACAATCCCTTAAGGGAGGCAGGCGGAAGAGGGTGAGCTCCAGCTGCCCCCCAAACACTCTGCAGCTCCTTCTGCTGGGGCAATTGGAAGAAGGTTCATTTGGGCTGTTTTAATTGGGAAGTGGGAAAGGGGCCAGGAGGCTTCCAGTGGGACAGGCCCAAATGGGCCAAGAGCAGGACAGAGGCGAAAGCACCCAGAATCAGAGGCAGTTCAGTTGCAGCAGATTCCTTGGGAAGCAGAGGCCCTTGGGAGGGGAGGCGAGCCTCCTTGGCCAGTGGCTGGCTGGCTGGCTGGCTGAGTTTTTGTGCAGGCTCTGGCCACAGGTGGGGGCATTCCTGGAGCCACTGGGCTGCCATCCCGGGAATTCCTGCCAGGAGCTGTGCTCAGCCTTGCACGGCCTGGGGGCCCGACCAGCGTCAGAGACAATGCGATGCGGGTGGCTGATCACCTTTCTGCAGGCCCATCTCCACGCAGAGAGGATTTGAGGGGTGGCTGGAGCAGGAAGAGAAGACGGCTGTCTGGACAGGAGCATGCAGAGTTGGAAGGGTGCAAGAAGCAGGAGATAAATGCATTGCAAGCCTTGACAAAGTCTTCCTCTTGAGGTCAAAGAGGCATTTAATAAAGTAAACAAAAAGCAGGGGGTACAGAAGAAACCCCAGAAGCCGCCCTGTGTTAGCTCAGATCTTTGGGGGTGGCTAGGATGGGACCTGCAATCGCCTGAGTCGGGGGTGTGTGCTCCCCTCTGTTCACAAACTCCACCAAAGGAAAGCACTAAAGTATTAATAACAGATTTATTAGCAACTGTTAAGATGAATGCTAGCAAAGAATTAGAAAGTTATTTATTTATTTATTTAACTTGTTCCTTAGCCATAGGCTCACTGCCAGTATCAATTGAGTAACTACTACAGAGAAGTTTGGAATATAGCTAGTAATAAAGTTAACGTGTGATATTAAAGTAAAAAAGGACCTGATGTTCAGAAGAATGTTGATAATGAAGATTATAAAAGGGAAAGGTTTTGAACCTTCACAAGAGTCCTTGCAGTGTTGGAAGGGGGACGGAACTGCTGGAAAGGGCCAACAATTTGACATGTATCCAATGGTCCCAGTGATGGGATGCACTTTTTTTGTTTGCTATGGTTTAGTAGAATTTTAATTGTGTTTTTTCCTTTATCTTTGTATTGCAGATTTTTATGTATGTTATGAATTTGATTAAACTTCTGTTAATAAGTGATTTAATAAAGCTAAATTTAAACCAAGAAGGAAAGAACCTCTCAGGACAATTTGGCTGTGAAGGGGTCCCATTGCAAAGTGTGGGGTGTAGGGTCTTTCCGGCCCCTCCTCCTACTGATTGCTCTTTACTGAGGAGGCCCCCAAGTCCTGCCTTTCCCCCTCCTGTGAGGAACCAAGGTGGCTTGCACAGCTCCTATGTATCCCCACTACAACAACCCTGTGAGGTAGGCGAGGCTGAGAGGGAGTGACTGGCCCAAAGCCACGCAGGAGTTTCACCTCCAAACGGGGACCAGGGCCCAGATCTTCCAGCTCCTCAGTGCCGCACTCAAACTACCCCACCGGCTCCCGGCGGGCAGCTTCCCCCAGTCTGAGGCTTGGCCAGTCCTGCGGAGGATAACTGGGAGACCAGTGGCCACTGGGCCGCTCCATGGAGGCAAGCTGGGGCAGCCCCTAGCTGTTTCCTTGGCCTGCAGGGCCTGCCTCAGTTTTCCTTATTTATTTATTTATTTATTTATCTATTTATCTATTTATCTATCTATATCTATTTATTTATTTAAAACATTTCTATACTGCCCCATTCGCCAAAGCCTCGGGGCGGCTCACAACATAAAATATAATCCAAATATACAACAAATTAACAATATAAAATAAGTCGCCCTGGCCAGATAAATAAGTAAATATTGTTAACAATTAAAATGATGTTTAAATAAAAAGGTCTTCGCCTGGTGCCGAAAAACAAACAACGACGGCACCAGGCGGACCTCTCTGGGGAGCGCATTCCATAGATTGGGTGCCACCGCAGAGAAAGCCCTCCTCTGAGTACCTACCCTCCTAATTTCTTTCACGGAGGGTTCCCAGAAAAGGGCCTCTGCTGCCGATCTCGGGGCGGGCGGGCGGGCGTATATGGACGTAAGTGCTCCTTCAGGTAGCCAGGATCCAAGCCGTTTAGGGCTTTATAGGTCATCACCAACACCTTGAATTGGGCCTGGGCTTCAATGGGAAGCCAGTGAAGCTGACGGAGGAATGGAGTCATGTGAACATAACGCCCCGTCCCCGTCAGCAGCCTGGCAGCTCTATTTTGAACCTTCTGCAGTGCAAGAGGCTGGACGGGGCACGGGGGAACAGCCAGCAGTGGAGCAGGCCCTGCTTTGTCCTGAAGTTCACAGCAGGGCTGCTCAGGTGCTTGTTTCTGCGGGGAGCCTCTGTGGATCCCCTGCACTGAAGCCGAAGGCGGCCAAGGTCGCAGGGGGGCTGCGTCTCTCCTTCCCTCTGCGCCACCCTTGCTCCTGACCTCCCGCACCGCTGCGGTCCCTGGGCATTCCTCAGGACAACCCTGTAAGGTTGGCCAGTACGAGATCCTGGGTGCGATGTTGATTTTAGGCTGCAGGGACCAGACCGGAGAGGCCTGATCGGAAAGGAGAGGCAGTGTGGTGTCGTGGTTAAGAGCATGGGATTGGGACTCGGGATCCGGGTTCTAGTCCCCGCTCAGCCATGCAGCCAACTGGGTGACTTTGGGCCAGTCACAGACTCTCAGCCCAACCTACCTCACAGGGTTGTTGTTGTGGGGATAAGATGGAGGAGGAGAATGATGTAAGCTGCCTTGAGCCCTTTGTAGGAAAAAGGCAGGGTATAAATCCAATAAAATAAAATAAATAGATAAAGCTTCCCTCTTCTACGGGCCTCGGTGACCCTCCAGCCAAATCCTGGCTCCATGACTAAGTGCAGCCTTGGACATAATGCCAAGGAGCCGGCTCGCTCCCGGGCATTCTGGCGGGCTGCCAAACCCCTGCCTGGAAAAGTGGGGCTGCATGAGCTTCTGCCCTGCATGGAGCTGCTCCAGGAGAGCCCCACAGAGCCTCGATCCTCTAGTCCTTGTGAGGATCCTTGTGATTCTGGGCTGGTCTCTGCACAACTGAGTTCGTCATAAAAGCTGCCTAAGGCGGTGAGAAGATGCTGGGGCTCATGGGTTGTCTTGGGAATTTGGTCATGCACCCATCTGCCTGTGCTTTTCTGCTTGCCTGCCCTGTGATGTCTCTGCTAAGAGCATCTCCCAGGCTGAATTGGGCCCTGCGCTGGGAGAGGATCAGCACCCCCAATTTATCGGGTGCCTCCTCCTTGCTGGCTTCAGAGGGGGGCTGCTTGCTGGCATGCACAAGCCCCTCCTGCAAAATGTGGAGACCTCAAAATGGGGCTCCCAAATATGGCGGCATTGAGGTCCCAACCGGGGCCTGCGGAGCCACTGCAAACCTTTCCAAGGGAGAGATCTGGAAATTTGCCGTCTTTCAAGTGAAAGCAAATTAGTTTTCGGGGTGATCTCTGATATCTTAGAAAATATAAAGAGAAACCTACATCCCCTTGGGGGTTTTTAATCAGTTAATAACTTGCTTAATTCATTAAAATATTTAAAACCAGAATGGAAAACACCCTAATTCATCAGTACATGACCTTGGCAACCCAAACATTCAGGCAGGAAGAATCCCAAGAAGCCCGGGAGTTGAAAACAGCACAAAATGGTTTCAACGGCTTCTGTCATATTTTTTTATTTATTAATTTTTCGATTTATATCCTGCCTTTTTCCTACAAAGGGCTCAAGGCAGCTTACATCTCCTCCTCCATCTTATTCCCACAACAACAACCCTGTGAGGTAGGCTGGACTGAGAGTCCGTGACTGGCCCAAAGTCACCCAGTTGGCTCCATGGCCGAGCGGGGACTCGAACCCAGATCGTCTGAGTCCCAGTCCCATGCTCTTCACCACTACGCCACGCTGGCTCTCCAGTGTGAAACCTCATGTTTTTCTAGCTCTGGATTCTTGCAGGCATCAACAAGGCTTCAACCGCAGTGTGCTTTGCATTTTCTAACCTCTGCCAGGAACCCGTGTGGCGCATGGATACAACCCTCTTTTTGCACTGCAGCTTTGCATTCTGTTTCTGTTCTTGAAGGCCTTCTGCATTTGGATGCTTTGGAAGCCACTCTTCTCTTAAGGCTTGCTTTCTGCCTCTCTGCATTGGTTTACAAGCCGGAAAGAGCATTCCCTGTTTCCCTGCCAGAGCTTTAGAATGTGCTTCCCATTCCGTAGAAGGTTTAAGTAGCCCTGAGTCTATTCTGGGAATACTCACCCACTGGGACTGTGGTGGGGCGTGACAGGGATATTCCTCCCATGGCCACAGGAATCGAGGTGAGCCATAAGCAGAGCCATTCAGGGTCAGACCGAGCGCCCGTCCAGTCCAGCAAACCGTTCACACAGTGGAAAACCAGCTGCCCGCGAGATCCCTGGCGCAGGAGTGGGGCGAGACCCCCAGACGCCAAAGCGCTGCAGCTCGCAGCCGGCAGGGCCAGCGGCCGGAGTGGGTCGCCTCCTGCGCCACGGAAGCGGCCAATCCCCTTGAGAGCCGCCAAAGTGCCGGCCCCCCCGCTTCCTTTTCCCTGTCCTGGATCTTCCGCCAAGCGGCTTCACACCCTCCTTCCCCGTGAGATGCCCCCCTCTCTCCCTCCCTCCAAGGCCCGGGGGCGAAACGGGGGGGTGCAGCGTGCGCGCTGTTTGGGTTCCACGGAAAGGCGCTCGCCATCTCCGGCTGGAGCAGGTTTCCGGGGGCCGCGCAAACGTGAGCGCGGATCCCCATTTTTGCACGCCGTGCGCAGTGGGGCGCCCAGTCCGGGAGTTCTGGGGGAGAGAAGCGCTTCAGTCGCGGTTTCGGGGATCCTGCTCCGTTCCAAACCACAGGCAATCGGGAGGATCCAGCGGGGATTCCGGGATCCGCTTCTTCCTTTTCTCCCCACGGCGCCAATCGCTAAGTGCGCCCGCGCCCCGGAGCGCCGAGCGAGCAGCGCTGCGGGGATCGGGCGGCCGGGAGACCGACGGCGGGGACTCGCCTGCCCGGGGGATCCGGGGTCGGGGTCTGCCCGGCGGGCTCCGCGGCGCTGCAGGAAAGCGGAAGGGAGAAGGTGAGAGGGGAAGAGAGGGGCAGGGGATGCAGGGGAGTGGGGAGAAAGAGGGCAGAGCCCGCCAGCCTCCTCCTGCCTTTGGAAGGGGCGGGGGAGGCCCGTGGGCCCCGATCCTGCTCCTGGTCCCGGCTTCCCACATGCACAGCACCTCGAGGTTGTGTATCCTTAGTCTGCTTGTCTTCAGCAAACTGTTTGCATCATCTTTAGAAGAGGCTTCCTTCTGGGACGACAGCCCTGCAGACCAATTTGATGCAGTGTGCGGCGCATGGTCTGAGCACTGACAGGCTGACCCACCACCCCTTCAACCTCTGCCGCAATGCTGGCAGCACGCATGCGCCTATTTCCCAAAGCAAACCTCTGGACATGACGCTGAGCACCTGCACTCAACTGCTTTGGTCGACCATGACGAGGCCTGTTCTGAGTGGAACCTGTCCTGTTAAACCGCTGTATGGTCTAGGCCACCGTGCTGCAGCTCAGGTTCAGGGTCTTGGCAGTCTTCGTATAGCCTAGGCCATCTTTATGTAGAGCGACAATTCTCTTCCTCAGATCCTCCTAGAGTTCTTTGCCAAGAGGTGCCATGTTGAACTTCCAGTGACCAGTATCAGAGCGTGAAAGTGATAACACCAAATTTAACACACCTGCTCCCCATTCACACCTGAGACCTTGTAACACTAACGAGTCACATGACACCAGGGTGGGAAGATGGATAATGATGCCCAATTTGGACAGTTTCACTTATGGGTGTACTCACTTTTGTTGCCAGCGGTTTAGACATTGATGGCTGCATGTTGAGTTATTTTGAGGGGCCAGCAAATTTACACTGTTACACAAGCTGTATACTCACTACTTTACATTGCAGCAAAGTGTCATTTCTTCAGTGTTGTCACAGGAAAAAATATAATAAAATATTTACAAAATGTGAGGGGTGTACTCACTTCTGTGGTATACTGTAAATGCACAAGAACATCAAGGGCAGAAACAGGATGCAAAACTTCCAGCGCTGGCAGCTAAAAGAGGGTTGTATCCATGAGCCACACGGGCTTCACGCAAATATAAGAAAATGCAAAGGAATCTACAGTCGAAGCTTGTTGATGCTTGTAAAAAACCAGTGCTAGGAAAGACATGGCACCTCAAGGACAGAGGCAACTGAAGCGGGGGGGGGGGGGCGCTTCTTGAGCCCTGCCCGAATGTTTGGGCTGCCAAAGTCATGTGCTTACGAATGAGCATGTTTTCAGTTCTGGTATTAAATATCCTGATGAATGCATTAAACAGATTACTGATTAAAAACACATAAAGGAATGTAGGATCCTCATGATAACTTTATCAGGTATCAGAGATGCACCTTGAAAGCCACTTCGCTTTCACTTAAACAATGGCAAAATTTCCAGATCTCACCCTCGGAAAGGAGCACAGCAGCTCTGCAGGCCCGGGTGGGACCTCACCGCTGCAGCATTTGGGACCCTCGTTCAGAGATCTCCGCACCTTGGGCAGGGGCCTGTTCACGCCGTCAAACAGCCCCCCCGCCCCCCGAGCCAGCAGCACAACAGTTCTGCCTGAATGAATTCATAGCCAGACTGAAATCAGCACAGTGGGCTAATTAAGTCAATGAGCTCTTTCACGGACAACTCCCCTTTCCGAGCAGTTGGATTTCTGCTGATGCCGAAGCTGTGCACTTCTCGTTTTCACGGGGTGGATTCCCTCTGCCTCGGGCTCCTGCTCTTGGGGAACCAGATTGGCTGCCCACAAAGCTCCTGGGTCCTGATCCTTGAGTGGAGAGCAGTCATGTCTGAATGTGGATGGAGCTCCCCAGCCTGGCTTTCTTCATCGGGGGAATCCTCTTCCAGGTAGGACACATTACTCCCCTCTCCATGATTGTCTCCCCCACCTGGAGGCCCTGGTTTTCCAGGGTATAGTTGAAGAAACCAGTGTGGTGTAGTGGTTAAGAGCATGGGACTGGGGCTCAGGCGATCTGGGTTCTAGTCCCCGCTCAGCCATGGAGTCGACTGGGTGACTTTGGGCCAGTCACAGACTCTCAGCCCAGCCTACCTCACAGGGTTGTTGTTGTGGGGATAAGGTGGAGGAGGACAATGATGTAAGCTGCCTTGAGCCCTTTGTAGGAAAAAGGCAGGATATAAATCGAAAAATAAAAAATAAGAAATAAGAAACCGGCAAACCAATTTAGGATCACGAACAATGGAGGCATCTTCCTTTGACCGTTACTCTAGCCCTTTTCCCACTCAGTCTGTAAGATATTGCAAATGGTCACAGTGTTGCCAGGAGTCCAGTATTTCTGCAACCTCACACTCTTCACTCCCGTTCACTAGTACCGGAGGGGAGTCTGCAGGGTCTGGACTGGAGTGGTGAACACTGGATGGACTCGGAGGGAGGCAGGAAACCTTAAATGAAAAGCTGCCGGACTGATCCGTGCAGTGACAAGAGAGGGACCGATGAATCGAGCATTGAACTTGTGGCTGCGTTGTTTGACATGGGGACAGAAACACAGAAACTCAGAAACAAAGTGAGTCAGAAGGGGCCTCCCAGGGCACCTAGTCTGACCCTCGGCTCCAGCTGGCTCTGCTCATTAACTCCCCAACATGAGGTTGTGCAAGGTTTCCTTGAACACCCTCACCGATGGGGCCTCCACCACCTCCCTCGGGAGCCCATGCCATCTCCCAGGGGTCCTAACCAGCAGGAAGTACCTCCCGCCATCCAACCTGAAGCCTGGTCCCTTGAGCTTTGCCCTGCTGGACCACGTCCTGCCCTCCACAGCAGGGAAGAAGTCACAGCCCTTCTGGACATGACTTTTATTTTATTTTATTTTAATTTAATTTAAAAATTAAAATTTATTTATTTATTTATTTGTATGCCATCCTTTCGCATAGCCTCAGGACGGCTTACATAAATAAGAAAAATTAAATAAAACATAATACAAATGAAATCCAGATCCACCCTGGCTGCAGATTGAAACCTATATAGCTGATGTTAACACTTATTAAAATATTGTTGAAATAAAAAGGTCTTCACCTGGCGCCGAAAAACAAATGACGGCGGCACCAGGCGGGCCTCTCTGGGGAGCACATTCCATAGGTGGGGCGCCACCGCAGAGACATCTCTTCACATCCCTGTGAGTGGCTAAAAGTTCCCCTCGGAGTCTCCTCTCCTCCAGGCTGGAAAGACCCAGTTGCCTCAATCTCTCCTCATCTGTCATCCCTCCCAACCCGGCTACCAGTCTTGCAACTGTGCACTGAACTGATTCTAACCTAGCTAAGTCTCTCCTATAATGTGGAGCCCAGAACTGGATGCAGGACTCGTTGTGAGTACACCAGTGTCTTACAGAAGCCATGTTAGATTCATCTATATATATTTTATTTTTGTAAATAGTAAGCAGCAGAAGAAAGAAAAACAGATGCATCAAAAGAAAGTGTTAGCAAGGGACCAGATACTAAAACTGCTGATAAAACTAGATGCAAGAAGTACCACGATAGATCAGCAACAGACACTATTTCCTCTAAACGTATAACTACAATTTTTGATAGTAATAGTTATAAATGATTCCCAATTAGTAAATAGCTGAATACCACTAATACTTGTGAAGAGAAAATTGCTTTAACATAGACAACAAGTAAACTATGATTCACCCCTGTTATGAGGCTGGGTATTTTTCTGGCATTTCCTTGTTCACCCACCTCTCCTCCACATGTCCCCGTGCTTCCATTTGAACAGCTCATGAGAGTCACATGTCCACAGCTCTTTGCCAGGATTGGTCCCCACACCAAGGCTTAGGGGCCAATTCTAGTTTTCACGCTGGGGTGAGCGCTGAGAAGCCACCTCCTGGTGACAGGCGAACACGAAGGCAAAGGCAGCAGGGGAAAGACAATGGCGCTGGAGCCCAAATGCGCAAACTAAACCCAAACGGCGGGAGAAGCTTCTTCCTGCCAGTATTCATCCGTTTCTCCTCCACCAGGGAATGCCCTCTGCCAGGAATGCCCCTCCGCAAGCCACAAGTCGGTCAGGCCCACAGCCAGAGAAGAAACGGAGGCCGGCCAGAAACCTGGAAGAGCCGATGCACTGAGAACTGCTGCAGCCTCTTTCGATTCTGCCACACACCAGAAGTGCTGGACCTTCATCGGAAGGTCACAGGAAAGCCTCAACATGAAGCTGCTCAGTCACCAAGGAGCTCCATTCTGCGCTCTCCCCAATTCCTGCAGTTGTGAAGGCAGGTGGATTCTTATTCTGCAGTTCATTTCTGCCAGTTCTCCTCGCTTACGGGATCTCACTTGCATCGTTAGCATGTCTGTTTTGCATTGGTAAGAAGGACAAACTCTCCCCAACTCTGTTTTAGCAAACTGAGAACAGCACAAACTACAACAGGATCGGGAGACCGTGCTCACTTGTGTCAAGCAATCAAGTTGAGATGAGATTGTGAAGCTGAGACACGATTTTAAAGACTAATTCAAGATTCTCTTGGTGGAAGTCAAGTTCCTAATTTACAGTAGAAACACCAGGGGGCAAAATGGAAAATTTGCCTGCTCTGCCCAATCGGCAAAGAAAATGCTAGACTCAATGGGCTTCCTGCCGAATCCTGCAGTTGTTCTGTTGCCAAGTTTGCAGTTTCCTGGCTTGGCATCTGTGCTAAATCAGCTCTTCTCCAGATCTCCCTGTTTGTGGTTCAGGTTGGATGGCAGACTGATCCTGCTTCTGAATTCCATCAACTGTGCACCCCCAGAGCACTGCCCCTCACCAAGGACCGCAGAACAGAGTCCAGCATTGCTGAATTGCTTTACATGGATCTTACAATACCAGGCCTTGACTCCATTGTAGGTCTTTTCATATGGAGAACCCCCAAAATTGCTGAAGCACAAGCCACAATCTCTGAATTTATGCAGTTCTTTCTTCATGCGAGTGCTTAGGTGCTTACGAAGATTCTCTCCAATCTGTGTCTGCATTCTGTACATCCAAATCATTTTTCTACACTGTGTGTTCCATGATGGCTTCTTCAACTGACTAAGCCTGAAGCTTTTTCCACATTCCATTTATTTATACACGATAGATATGAATTTTCTGATGCCTAGCAAGAGTTCCATTCCTTCTAAAGCTCTTTCCGCATTCCATGCATTTGTATGGCCGCTCTCCAGTGTGGATTCTTTGATGCACAGAAAGAGCTGCACCCCGACTGAAGCTGTTTCCACATTCAATGCATTTATAAGGCTTCTCCCCAGTGTGGGTTCTCTGATGACTAGCAAGGCTTCCAGTCCTACTAAAGCTCTTTCCGCATTCCATGCATTTGTATGGCCGCTCTGCAGTGTGGACTCTTCGATGCATAGAAAGAGCTCCACCCCAACTGAAGCTATTTCCACATTCAATGCATTTATAAGGCTTCTCCCCAGTGTGGGTTCTCTGATGGCTAGTAAGAGTTCCATTCCTACTAAAGCTCTTTCCACATTCTTTGCATTTGTGTGGCCTCACCCCAGTATGGATTTTCTGATGCGCAGCAAGAGCTCCACGTAAGCGGAACTGCTTACCACATTCCTTGCAATCATACGGTCTTTCCTCAGTGTGGATTGTTTGATGTACAGTTAAAGCTCCTCTCCAATTGAAGCCCTTTCCACATGCCATGCACTTATATGGCATCTCCCCAGTGTGGATTTTTCGATGCCTAGAAAGTCCTCCATGCTGACTGAAGCTCTTCCCACATTCCATGCAAGTATATGGCTTCTCCCCAGTGTGGATTCTCTGATGCTGTGTGAGACTTGCACTTGCATTGAAGCACTTTCCACATTCCATGCATTGATATAGCCCCTTCCCAGTGTGGATTTTTTGATGACAAGCAAGAGATCCACTCCGATTGAAGCTCTTCCCACATTCCAGACATTTGTATGGCTTCTCACCAGTGTGTGTTCGTTCATGTATTGTAAGCTGAGACTTCACTTTGAATCTGCTTCCACATGTAATGCATTCATGGGGCCTCTCCCCAGTGTGGGTTCTTGCATGTTTTAAAAGATGACCATTCAGTTTAAAGCACTTCCCACATTCCAAGCATTTATATGGCCTCTCCCCAGTGTGGGTTCTTTGATGTTGAGACAGACCTCCACTTACACTGAAGCACTTCCCACATTCCATGCACTTAAATGGCTTCTCCCCAGAGTGGGTTCTTGCATGTGCAATAAGAATAAAATTCTTTTTGAAGCTCTTCCCACATTCTGTACATTTATATGGTCTCTCTTCACTGTGGGTTCTTGCATGTGCAGTAAGATGAGAATTCTGTTTGAAGCCCTTTCCACATGCCATGCATTTATATGGCTTCTTCCCAGTGTGGGTTCTTGCATGTTTTAAAAGATGACCATTAAGTTTAAAGCACTTCCCACATTCCAAGCATTTATATGGCCTTTCTCCAGTGTGGGTTCTTTGATGTTGAGACAGACCTCCACTTACACTGAAGCACTTCCCACATTCCATGCACTTAAATGGTTTCTCCCCAGTGTGGGTTCTTGCATGTGCAATAAGAATACAATTCTTTCTGAAGCTCTTCCCACATTCTGTACATTTATATGGCATCTCTTCACTGTGGGTTCTTGCATGTGCAGTAAGATGAGAATTCTGTTTGAAGCCCTTTCCACATGCCATGCATTTATATGGCTTTTTCCCAGTGTGGGTTCTTAGATGTTGGGTATGACCTGTAATTTCACTGCAGTACATGCCATGTTGCATACATATCTGTGGCGTCTCCCCCACATGAATTCCTTCATGTGTATTAAGGTTGGCACATATATCACAACTTTTTCCACTTCCCATGCACTTATGTGGCTGCTCTCCAATGTTAACTCTTCCATCTTTAGCACAGCGGCCACCTTCACTGAAGCTCTGCCCACCTTCCATAATCTTATATTGCACCCCAAACAGTAAGATCATCAATGTTCTGCCCTCTCTGAGGCTCCTTTCACATGACACGTGTTCATCTGGGTCCTCCAGGGTGGGTTCTTGAAGTTGAGGAAGCCCCCTGCCTACCAGAATGCTCGTTTAACATTCCGCACATTCATTAAGTCCTTGTAGTTTCCAAATCTTGTGTGAGAATTACAGAATGTTTCTCCCTCCTGTTCTTTGCATGGTTTTCCTCATGATTTCTTGATCCCACTGAATACACAAGTCTTTCTTCACACACTCTTGCCCTTGACCATATGACACAAGGGTTGCATACAGTCTCTAGAGTCACACCATTCACCTGGTTGTGGGAAAGGGAAAATGGAAATCTTGCAGTGAGTGAAAGGCTGAAGACAATGAACTCGGCTGAGTTCAACCCAAATCAATCAGCAAGGCTCCCATCAGCTGGAACAGAGGTGCAGTGACCTCTGCTAGCCACAGGCTTGTCAGAAGGAATGCCCAGGAATTTCAGTCTGGGCTGTGAGCACGGGAGCCCTGGAAAGAGAAGGAAACACAGAGCCTTCCGTTGCCTGCCCTCCAAGTCAGTGATCCTCCAAGGCCTTTTGGCTCCTCCACCCCTGCAACATGAACTTCCCAGGGAAGAGCTCCCAAGGATTCCGGGAGAAACACTCGCCTTTGCCTGGAGCATGAACAGCAGCTCCATGTGGTACGTTTGTCCAGGCTCCGTCCTGAGCCTCCAGCTTGGATGGCAAAGAAGAGCCCCCTCGGATGCTGGCGGAGGTCCAGCCCACCCTGCCTGTCTGCGTGGAGCACAAAAAAAGCAGAAGCAATGCACAGCCCACCCCCCAGTTCACACTCCCTGTTAGTACCTTGTCCGACGTCCCATGGAAATGGGAGGGAGCGCTGAGGTGGAGCTGCTGCGATGGCCGCAGTGCAGGCTGGGGTCCTGGGAGATCCGGGTTCTGGTGCCTTTGCCCAGGCGGCTTCCTGGGGGACGTTGGGCCAGTCGCTCCTTCCCAGCTCAGAGAGTTTTGACCGCTGCTGTGTGGATAAAATGCAGCTCTGTCAGCCACCTTCTCACCTGAGAGCAGATAAAACAGGACGGAATGCAACATAAGAATAGTAATATTTGGGAGCAGGTGCCAGAAAGACTCTGCAGTCCAGATGTTACAATGGAGGATGCTGCACAGCCGTGCCTTCTTGCACTGAGACCGGTCCTTTCCACCTCTGGGGCTTAAGGGGAAGAAGGTCCCTTTCCCTCCTCCTGTCCCATGCACCATTTTCCCTTCTCCCCACTGCCCCACATATCCAGGTCTTTTGTTCATTACAGGGGGGATCTGGGAATGGAAACCATGCAGCCCCTTCAACCCATGCCTTGGGCCCTGCACCCCCTTCCAATTGCAAGAGGATAGCTGACTCCCCCCCCCGCCCTTTCCCAGCTTCCACCTCCTTCCCCCCTGCCTCTGTCTCGCCCCCACCGTTTCCTCCTTCTCCCGGCATGCCTCACTTCGGCTCCCCCAGGGTATGCTGGGAAGGGTGCTTCCCAACCCCCACCGGTCCACCCCGCCCCCTCTCTGGGCCGCTGTCCCGGAGCACTGCGCTGCCCCTCCTGCGGCCCCAAAGCAGCACGGCCAGTTAGCCCCCCCCCCGCGCCGCCCGGCCCACGTGACCCATTGCCCCTCCCGCTCCTCCCTCAAGCAGAAGGGTAATAAAAGCACAATTCTCCGGGCCCCTCCGAGGTCCCCCCAGTCCGCCCGCCCCTCCCCCGGCCACCCCCCCGTCTCCGCGCCCCGCTGGCACCCGTGACCCCCCCGCCAAGCCGGCGCCCTGGGCCCCCGCGATTCGCAGGCCGAGAGCGCCTCGCCCTCCCCGCCTCCTTCGGGGCTTGCTCTGCAGAGGGCAGCCGGGCTCTGCATCCGCCGGGGGGCCGCAGTCCCCCGGGGGGGGG